TGAGGCGGCCGCCGAGGTGCAGGAGGGCGCTGGGGCTGCGGGCGCCTCCCGCAGGGCAGGGCAGGGCGGCTCGGCCCGGTTTGGTTCGGCTCGGCGCGGCTCGGCCTGGCCCGGCCCGCTGGGACCGCCCCGGCGGCGGCCCCGGAGCGCCCGAGGTGGCGGCGAGCCGGTTCCGCCCGGGGCGGCCCAAATCCTGGTTCCASCCGGGGCAGCCCAAATGCTGGTGCTGCCCGGGGCGGCTCCAGTCCCGGGGCGGCCCAAATCCCGGTACTGCCAGGGCGGCCCAAATACTGGTTCCACCCGGGGCAGCCCAAATGCCGGTTCCTCCCGGGGGGGCCTAAATGTCTGTGCTGCCCGGGGCGGTCCAAATCCCAGTTCCACTCGGGGCAGCCCAAATCCCGGTACTGCCCAGGGCAGCTCCAGTCCTGGGACTGCCCGGGGCAGCCCAAATCTCAGTTCTGCCCGGGGTGACTCAAATGCCGGTTCCGCCCAGAGCAGCCCAAATCCCGGTACTGCCCAGGACGGCTCCAGTCCCGGGGCTGCCCAGGGCAGCTCAAATCCCAGTGCTGCTGGGGCAGCCCAAATCCCGGAGTTGATGGGAGCAGCCCAAATCCTGGGGCAGCCCCAGTCCCGGTGCTGCCCAGGGGAGCCCAAATCCCCAGCACTGCCTGACGTGAGCCCAGTCCCGGTGCTGCCCAGGGTGACCCAGCCTGGCTCCCTGGTACCTCCTCGGCAGCCTGGTGTCCTAGTACTGCCCAGGGCAGCCCTACTCCTTGGTGCTGCCCGGACATCCCGACTTGCCCCTGCGTGAGCAGCCCAGCCCGGTGCCCCAAGAACCCCGGTGCCACCAGGGTCACCCCGGCCAGGCCCCGTGCCCAGGGCCAGGGCAGCACCTCCCATCCATCCCAGGCCCTTCAGGGCACCCTTGGCTCTCCCATGGCAGTGCCAGGATGTTCATCCAGGCAGAGCCCGGCCCCTCCAGGGCTTCTCCGGACAGCAGGATGTGCTTGGAGTGGCTGCCAGCTCCAGAGCCCCATCCCTCTGCTCGCCCGTGCRTGGGAATGGCCGGAGATGGGTGTTTTCAGCCTGGAAACAGGATATGGGTGACCACGGAGCACGAGGGCCGGCCCGGYGCAGAGCTGCCCCCTCAGCCCCGTCCCACAGCAGCGGCTGGGCAGGAAGGGGCCTCGGGGGGGAGTTTCGTCCTGCCGCTATTTGGTGATCACAGGGAAGTTCAAAGGCACCGTGCTGATTAAAGCGGGTTCTTGGTGGCTCTCTGATCCCGCCTTGTACTTCCCCAGTGTGGGCAGCGGGATAGACCTCCTCCGGTGGCCTCTTGTCCCAGCATCCGGAGCCCCCCGGGGTGCTGTGGGGACAGGCTGCACTTGGCTGATCAGAGACTGGARCCTGGGGCTGGTGCCACCCCCCTGCCCGCAGCAGCCCTGGTTCCTCTGGGACGGCGGTTGGCACGCGAGCGGGAATTCGGGGTGTCCTGGGGTGCTGGAGCTGGGAGATGCTCTTGGTTGACCAAGGTTGGCCTCATGCTGCCTGCCCAGCACCCTGAGCTGCAGCGCCCGCCGGGTCCTGTTTTTGGTGCCTCGGTGCAGCCCTGGGCACCGGTGCCACTTGGGATAGCGCTGATGTCCCATGGGATGCGGAGGAGAAGGGGCCCTGGCACATCCCAGCCTCCATGGAGATCRTCCCAGCAAAGCCCATAGCGCAGGAGGCCGTGGATGCTCAGGCCTGCGCTCCAGGGATGCTCCGTCTGGAGGCTTTTCCCATATGGTGYTGTGCAACTGGCCTAGACCTCCGCAACCCCCTGGCCTGGCACCTGGGAGGGAAATGCCCCTCAGTGCATCCGCTGGGATGTCCGGAGCGGTCGGATGAGCCCTGGGATTGGGATGCTCCGAGCAAACAATTTGCATTATCACGGAGTCTTGTGATTTCTGCCGAAAGCCCCTGAGGCTGCAGGGGAGGCCGGGGCCCTTGCATCACCCAGCCGAGTTTCCTCCCCGTCATGTGAGGACGGGCGGGTGAATCAGTGAAGCGGAGAGGAAGCGAAAACAACAACAGCGCTTGGACAAACGGAGCCGGAGARGCCTCTCCGCAGGGCGGCAGGGAAAAGCGGCGCGGCCGTCCGCAGGAGAAGCCCCAAGCCGGTGGCCGGGGCTGCGTGCGGGTCCCCGGCACCCCCGGGCCAGGGCTGCCCTGACGAGCTGTGAAAGCACCGGAGGTTTCCGAGAGCCAGGAGCACCTGCCTGATTTGCCTAAAGAAGCTGTTTTTGCAAAAAAAAAAAAAAAAAAACTGCTTTGGTGACTGAAGCGCCTGCCGGGGTGGGTGAGGGCACTGGGCAGCATGTGGGCTTTGATGGGCCCCGGTGGCTGCTGCGGTGCCACCGGTTGTGCTGCCCCGGCACCACGCGGGGATCCTGCTGCTGGGATGGGGGCTCCGGGGTCCCTGGAGACAGCAGAGGCCCCAGGAGCGTCCACCGGGCACTGGGTAGCTCAGCTGAACTGGCATCGTGCACCTGGGCATCGTGTACACTGGGCATCGTGTACCCTGGGGATCCTGCATCCCGGGGATCCTGCATCCTGGGCAACCTGCGCCCTGGGGATCCTGCACCCTGGGGATCCTGCTCCCGAGTCATCCTGTGCCCTGGCGATCCTGCGCCCTCGGGATCCTGTGCCCTGGGGTGTCCTGCACCTTGGGGATCCTGCACCCTGGGCATCGTGTACACTAAGCGTCGTGTACATTGCGCATCGTGTGCTTTTGCCATGATGCACCTTGGGGATCCTGCACTTGGGGGATCCTGCACCCCGGATATCCAGCATTCTTGGGACCCTGCACCCTGGGCATCGTGTGCTCCTCGCATGGTGCACCCTGGGGACCCTGCAGCCTGGGCATCGCGTGCTCCTCGCATGGTGCACCCTGGGGACCCTGCACCCTGGGCATCGCGTGCTCCTAGCACCGTGTGCCCTGCGTCTCCCGCCCCCTGGGCATGCGGCACTTCGGGCATCCTGGGGATTTGGCACTCGATGCACCGTGTTCCCTGGGGAGACCCCACGCACAGGGAAGGGGCTGAGCCTGGGGTCGCATCCATGCATCGCCGAGCCTCTTYTCCCACAAGGAGGGACCCAGACCTCCCAGCCTGGCCCGCCGGCAGCTCCATCTCCCTTCCCTTGCCCGGCGGCCAGCGCGAGCCCTGCCGTGCGCAGGAGCTGCGCGAACCRGACGGGGAGCACTAAAACCCACGTTATTCTACCAAGGAGATGCGGCTTCGAGCCCGGCACCGTGTGCTGCCCGAGGGACATCCTCGGCACGGCCGGGCGCTGCTGGCCACGTTACCGGCCCGTTCCCCCCGGAACGGGCTGCCCGCAGCAGCGGCGGCAGCGGCTCCGGGGGCCCGGCTCGCTCCGGAGCCGAGCCATCGAGCGCCGGGCAGCCGCTCTCCGAAGCCCTGGCACCGCCAGAGCTGCTCCCGCGCTGCCAGGCCGCGCCGGAGAGGACAAGCGGCGCCCGCAGCGCCGGCTCTGCCCGCTTTGAAGGCGCTAAACGATCCGAAACGGTCCACGGAGATCACAGGGGCGGCCGCCGTGGCTGCGGGGCCCGTGCCCGCGGCGCACCACGGCCGGGATCACGCGCGGCCGGGCGCCCCGTTCAAAACAGAGCCTGCCTTTGAGCTGGGGCGCGTCCCGCGGGGCCCCCGCGCGCCCGGGACGTGGCGGGGCGCGATTGTCCGATTGTCCCTTTGGGACATCCCGGCTTTTGGGACAGCTCCCATGGGTGCAGCCTGGAGCCCGGGCTGAGCCAGCGGTGAGCCCGGGGGTTCCCTGAGAGGAGGGCACTGGGGACACTGGGACCCCCAGGGAGGGCACTGGGGACACTGGGTGGACACTGGGGACACCGGGACCCCCCATGAGGGCACTGGGGACACCGGGACCCCCAGGGAGGGCAGTGGGACCCCCTGGATGGGCACTGGGACCTCCCAGGAGGGCACTGGTGACACTGGGAGCCCTTGGGTGGGCACTGGGAGTACTGGGACCCCCTGGCTGGGGGCTCAGGGCACTGGGGACAAAGGGATGAGGGCACTGGGCCCCCCTGGCTGGGCACTGGGGACACTGAGCCCCCCCATGAGGGTGGTGGGACCCCCCAAGAGGGCACTGGTGACACTGGGACCCCCTGGGAGGGCACTGGGGGCACTGGGATCAATGGGAGCAGGGTAGGAGGCACTGGGACCATTGAGGCCTCCACTGTGGTGGACACTGGTAGCGATGGGAGGGGGCTGCA